CCATACAAACTTGGTGCTTTTATTTTTATGACTTTATAGGTAAGGAAATAGACTTAGAGAGGTTAAGTTACTTGCTTAAGATCATACAGGAAGTAAGTATTAAAGCCAGGATTTGACCATAAGCAAGTTATCCTAGAGTCCAGGCTCTTATCCTCTGTGTTATAATATCTTTCATGTTAGATAGTATATGATTGGCATTGAGGTTCTGGAAGAGGGGAGACAAAAGGGCACATCTGTGTCTTTTAGAGTTTTTTTGGTATTTGTCAATTTGTATAGAGAAAAATCCATTTTCTTTTTCTATTTAACCTCAATTGCCATGAATTCCCTGGTATAGGTAACTTAATCAAACTGGGACTATGAAGATGAAGGGATAATGCTGACTCCTTTTCTTCTGCAAATGTTTGGTGTACAATGTCTTTGTTATCATTTTTGTTTTGTTTTGGAAAATCTGAAAATCAGAGGGCTCTCAGAAGCAGGTCTTGGGGAAAACACACAGACAGAAAGGTATGCTTGAGACAGTGGAAGAACCTAGCAATATGATACATTTTTTAAAAAGATAGTAATGGATACTCTAGAAGTTCATTGTATAGAAACATTTTCAAATATAGTAAGAATTCAAAATGGAACATATTGATTAAGGGGTACAAGTAGGTGACCCTTTTAGCAATTTACAATTTTTACCTCAAATGAACAAATTGGTAATCAGTTTTTAGATAAACAAATGAAGGTGATTCATACAGCCAATCCATTTACTTAGCCCTCTCTTGTTAGATGTTTATGTTTCCAGGTTGTTCAAAGAAAGAGATTATGTCTCTTGGTATTAAAAAAAGAGAGTGGAAACCTTGTAATTAAAAGCTTCAGTCCTCTGTTCTACCCTTTCCCCAGTCATAGGCCTACTTCCTCAGGTAAATACTTTTACCTATTTCTTTGTAGTTTCTTTTGTTTATTTTTTTATTGAGCTATAATTGACATATAACATTATTACTTTTGTGTTCTTTTGTTTAGATGCACATCTCCAGCATACTTATTGCTATTTCTTGATTCATCAGCTTTAGCTATTACCATCAATTCATGCTATGATTAAAGGAGATTTAATTCATTTATTCTACCTCCACTCTTTCTCCCAATAAAGCACTATGTTTAGATCCAGTTTTTTAACAACTTTTTTGAGATACGATCCACATCTGTAATTCAAAAATTCACCCATCTATCGTATAGAGTTCGGTGGTTGTAGTATATTCACGGAAATGTGCAGTTGCATCACAATCTAAATTTAGAACATTTTCATCACCCATACACTGCCCTCTAAAAAATCCAAACCCATTAGCAGTCACTCACCCTTACATCTTTCCCCAGATTCTCACAACCAGTTATGTACTTTCTGTGTCTATGAATTTGCGTGTTCTGGACATTTCGTGTAAATGGAATAGTACATGTGGTCTTTTGAGACTGTCTTCTTTCACTTAGTATATTTTCAAGGTTCATCCATGTTGTAGGATATGTCACTATTTTATTCTTTTTTATGGCTGAATATTTCATTGTATGGATATACCACCTTTTGTTTATCCGTTCATCAGTTTATGGATATCTGGGTTGTTTCTATTTGGGGGCTATTATGAATAATACTGTTGTGAACATTCATGTACAATTTGTTGTGTGGGCAGATGTTGTTTTCATTTGTCTCGAATATATACCTAGAAGTAGAATTACTGGATTATATGGTAATTCTAATGTGTAATATTTTGAGGAACTGACAAACTATTTTGCAAAATGCTTGCACCATTTCACATTTCTACCAGCAATGTATGAGGGTTCCAGTTTCTCTACATCTTCACTATATAGATCCACTATTGATTACTTCATAACTTTACCTCAACCTTTAGTGTAAGCCCTGACATTGGTTATTTTTCTTTTTTATACTGCAAATGCATGACTTAAACTTTGATTGTCAAGGCATTTATCTCAAAAAGGCATCCACGTCAAAAACGCTATCTTGAATAAACATATTGCCAGGCACACAGCTCGATAGAGAGCCAGGCTGCCTCTCCCCACTGAGGTTCCTTTGTTTTAGAGATCTCAGTTGACTTCAGTAACTGACCATTTGGCTACTTGTTTTCTCTTCCCATACTTTTAAGTTCACTAATAGTGGGCCCCTAAAACCCTATGCACCCTCCCTCAAACCCAATAAAAGCAGTACCCAAAGCCTGTGTGTGTACATGTTTCTTCTCCCTTCTATTCTCCCTCTTCCTCTTCCCCTACCCCCACAACCTCAATGCGTGGCCCCAGGTATGTTCTGTAATTTCCAGGTCCTATGAGTAATAAACCTGTATCTTTTCAGAGTTTCTTGATGGTTATTACTGAAGATCTTGAAATCATAAGAACCATGAGGGCTGGTCCAGCCACGACGTTGGTTATTCATAGGCTGAGACCAGTACAAAACAAGTTTTAGGGTTTTCTATGTATCATATGCCATCTGCATGTAATAATCAATTTACTTCTCCCTTTCCAATTTGGATACCTTTTCTTTCTTTTTCTTACCAAATTGCTTTGGCTAGGACTTCCAATACTATATTGAATAGAAGTGGTGAGAGTAAGCATTTTTGTCTTGTCCTGATCTTAGAGGAAAGGCTTTAAACTTTTCACCACTGAGTCTGATTTTAGCTGTGGACTTGTCATATATGGCCTTTATTATGTTGAGGTATGTTCCCTTTATACCCATGTTATCAAGAATTTTTATCATAAATGGATGTTAAATTTTGTCAGATGCTTTTCTACATCTATTGAGGTGATCATATGATTTTTATCCTTTATTTTGTTAATATGGTATATCACATTGATTTGGGGGTATTGAACCATCCTTGCATTCCCTGGAATAAATCCCACTTGATCAGGGTGTATTATGCTTTTAATGTGTTGTTAAATTTGTTTTGCTAATATTTTGTTGAATATTTTTGCATCAACATTCATCAGGGATATGGGCCAGTAATTTTCTCTTCTTGTAACATCCTTGTCTGATTTTGGTAATGCTGGCTTCATGAAATGAGTTTGCAGAGGTCCCCTCTCTTTTATTTTTTGGAAGAGTTTGAGAGGGATTAGTATTAATTCCTTAAATGTTCAGTAAAAGTTACGAGTGAAGCCATCTGGTCCTAAATATGTATTTCTTGTAATGTTTTTGATTACTAATGGAATCTCCTTATTAGTAAATGGTCTGTTCAAATATTCTGCTTCATCATGTTTCATTCTTGGTAGATTGTATGTTTCTGGAAATTTATCCATTATTCTAGGTTGTTCAATTTGGTAGTGTATAATTGTGTTCATAGTAGTCTATTATGATCCTTTGTATTTCTGTAATCAGTTGGAACATCTCTTTCTGATTTTATATATTTGAGTCCTTTTACTTTTTTTCTTGTTGAGTCTATATAAAAGCTCGTCAGTTTTATCTTTTTAAGGAACCAGCTCTTAGTTTCATTGATATTCTCTTTTGTCTTTGGTCTCTATTTCACTTATTTCTGCCCTAATCTTTATTTCTTTTTTTTCCTTCTTTTACTGAGTTGGGGCTTCATTGTTTTATTTTTTCCTTATTTCTTGAGGTATAAAGATAGGTTGTTTGAGACTTTTCTTGTTTCTTGAGGTAGACATTTATTGCTATGAAATTCCCTCTTAGAACTGCTTCTGCCATCCCATAAGTTTTGGTATGTTATATTTCTGTTTTCGTTTGCATAGAATGAATACCTTTTTCAAGGTGTTTTTTTTTTCTCTTTTGATTTCTTCTTTGACTCATTGGTTGTTCAGTAGCATATTGTTTAATCTCTACATACTTGTGAATTTTCCAGTTTTCTTTGTGTGATTAATTTCTAATTTCATAACATTGTTGTCAGAAAAGATGCTTAATATCATTTCAATCCTCTTAAACTTATGAAGACTTTTGTGGCCTCGCATATGATCTGGAGAATATTTCATGTAATCCTGAAAAGAATGTGTATTCTGTTGGTTTGGGATGGAATGTTCTGTATATATCTATTAAATCTGTCTAGTCTGACACGTTAAAGTTAATGTTTCCTTATTCATTTTCTGTCTGGATTATCTATCCATTGATCTAAGTGGGGTATAAAATCCCCTACTATTATTGTATCATTGTCTATTTCTCCCTTTAGTTCTGTTAATATATTTAGGTGTTCCTGTGTTGAGTACATAAATATTGACAAATGTTATATCCTCTTGTTTGATTGACTCCTCTATCATTATGTAACACCCATCTTTGTCTCTTATTACAGTCTTTCTTTTAAAGTCAGTTTTGTCTGATATAAGCATAGCTACTCCAGCTTTCTTTTGGTTTCCTTTTGCATAGAATGAATTACCTTTTTCATCCCTTCATTCTCAGTCTGCATGTGTCCTTAGATCTGTATAAATAGGTAGAGTGTTTCTATCCTTATATGCTAATTTAACTTTAGGGAAATAATTCTGAATATAGAATAAAGATTATCCAAAAATATTCAACAGCTTTATTTTCAGTAGTGAAAAATTAGAAACACATTGAACATCCAGCGGAGCAGAATGTGCCAAAGTAAGTTATGATACTTCTAAGATTTAAGAGATTGAATAGGAATGAGAGGGAAAGTTTACAATATAGTAGGAAAAGCAGGATATAATTTTTTTATATAATATTGAATTACAAATGTTTTTTATAAAAATACAGTGAAATAACTGGAAGAAAATGTAATAGTTTTACCAGCGATTATGTTTGGATATTGTGATTCAAGTAATTTTTCCCTTTGTACTTTTTTTTCCCCCAGATTTTATTTAATCATGTACTGATTTTTTAAAAAGTAGTATTTTCCTAACATGGGGTAAAGAGATAATTAATGCTTTCATAGCCCTCCACTAGATAATATTCTGTTTATATTATCTGTTCAGTTGGGGGACGTTTTGATAATGATATTTTCTTAAAATCCTGTTTTCTTCTGTCCATTTGGATTGAACACGTTTGTATTATTTCTTAGATCTGAAACTCAGCACCGAGGCTCTGCTCCCCACTCTGAGAGTGATCTACCAGAACAGGAAGAGGAGATTCTGGGATCTGATGATGATGAGCAGGAAGATCCCAATGATTATTGTAAAGGTAAGGCTTTCTGTAGGAGCTACTAAGTAAGTCATGATTCATGTATATGCAGTTTTTCATTTGAATGTTTGATCTATCAGTGTAAACAGTTTTGATGCTTTCTGCTTATTGCTCTTTTTTCGGTTGAGCTAGGAAATGGTATTTCTTCTTAGTTTGACTTAATTTATTAAAACTTAGTTTTATATTAAATCTGTTTTTACCCTTTTTTCTCTTTAAAAGTAATAGTGCATATTTACCTTAGGAATTTTCAGAAATATATTAAACGAAAAGAAAATAAAAGCCATCTTTAATGCTATCACTCAGAGGTAAGTGTGATAAGATTTGGTATGTAGACTTTTGCAGAACACCTTTTAATTACTTTTTCCTCATAGAGATGATTGCTAAGATAAGTTAAACTGGAATTATAGATACTTATACTGTGTCACCAAGTTGCCTGATACTTCTGTTTCTTTATGAGACTCTCTAGTATTCTTGGATAAGAACTTATAACAGAATGTATCTTACCATGTAGGAGGGCCTGGTTCTTTTTATTCTCAGCTGGCATAAGGTAGACGTTGAAATACTTTGATTCATGCCACTGTTGGCAGCCTTGTTTTGTTGTGTTTTAGAGAAGCAAATTCTCTGTTTTCTTTTTAAGTTAAATAAATGGAATTCATTGATCTGTCTCCTAAAAAACATCCTGAGACTGCAACTGTAAATCGATTTATATGTTTAGATAAATCTAGTGGATTACCAAGGGGCAAGAATATTGTGATACATAACCTTATTTTTTTCTTGAGGATGACTTATTTTAAGTAGCTTTGTTCCACAAAGCATCTCTTGCTCACTCTAAGTCATTAATCTTACTCTAAAGTTTTGGGTTTTTGGGGGGTAGGGAGGGTAACATAAGCTTAATAATACTGTGTGGCTGACATGACTTAAATTTTTCTTCTATTGAATTGATTGTATATAAGAAACCATTTTTATTTGATAAAAGGTGTATATATAGAAGTTGAAAAATGGGATGTGAGATACTTTTTCAAACTATTTAAGTGACTGTTTCCCTCCTATTGTTTCTTCCAGGAGGTTATCATCTGGTGAAAATCGGGGATCTATTCAATGGAAGATACCATGTGATCCGAAAGTTGGGCTGGGGACATTTTTCAACAGTGTGGTTATCGTGGGATATTCAGTAAGTTTTTGTGGTCCTGCAAAAGAATTAGTTAGGTGTGATCTTTATGTTCTTGGACAAATAACTTTCCTTTGGTGAAGAAGACCCTAGAGACAAATGATTAATTAAATTAATATCAGCAAGGCACTTAGCACTCCCCAAATCAAAGCATTACCAACTTAAGAAAGTATGGTATGTATATTCATAGTTTTTCCCACTGGAATAGAGTTAAATTTCTGGGTGATGTCTTAGACCAACCTATGTGAAATTATTTTCTTATATTTTGTTTTGGTAACAGATTTGCTTGGCCATATAGTCTAAAGCTACTCTCTACATAAAAATCACAGGCAGTTCACATTGGATGTTTACCTAAAAGTATACCATCTGTCTTTGATGAGACCATATTTGCTATCTATGCACATTATTTTATCAATTTGTTTTCACCCAAGTATTTCTTTTGACTTCTTATAGGAAAGTATTATGGCTTTTAACATTTTAGCTTTTACCAAATATACTGGATACTTTTTATTTGGTGCGGTTTGCTCTCTTATTTATCCCCATTTCATGGTTTTAGTTGGATTCAGAGAAACATTAAGAAGGTAGATTTTAACTTAGAGAAATGTTTGGTGACCGACATTACCCCAAAACAGATCTTCTTCTTCCTGTAAATTAAATCTGGCTAGTTAATTAACAGATACAAGTGGTCCCACAGAAGTAGCCTGTGTTTGAGTATAGGGCATTGTGAAATCAATATTGGTACTTTTGTCACTGTGTCCCAGTTATAGCTAAATTTTAGCTTCCTAAAGTAAGGGTAGGACATTTAGCCTTAATTGTCTGTGTTTATTTCTTAGGGGGAAGAAGTTTGTGGCCATGAAAGTAGTTAAAAGTGCTGAACATTATACGGAAACAGCACTAGATGAAATCCGGTTGCTGAAATCAGTGAGTATTAGATCGTATGTGTGACTGCAACGCATTAAACAAATTTTATTCAATTAAGATATACCAAGTGTAAATTCTTTAGCATGGCTAATTTTTACTATAAAGTTCCAATATCTTTAAAGAAGTAGAGGAAAACAACAATATTTACACATTCTGAGCATGTGGTAAGGAATTGGTGGAATATGCTGTCATAAGAATTCTTCCTACATACACACCAAAAAAGTTTTCAAATAAACAAAAATGTTTATTGAGCATGTTTCATGTGTCAGATAGCACAAAGAATGTTTTTCTTTCCTACTATGGTTAAAAGGAAAATTATGCAAACCAATATATAATATGTTTTGTTTTAAAATGTTATAAAAATAAACATAGTATTTATTCCCATATACCTGGAAACAGGTAAATTTATCAGAAACTTATTTTAAGTTTTGTCGTAAACCAGGAAGATGTCAGTGAAATAAAAGGAGCTTAAACTCAAGAGTTAGAAAACCTGGGTTTTAGGATCAATCAGCTCTATCCCAATATATCCTCCAATTCATTATTTTATTTCTTTTGAGCCTTAAATTTTTCACTTGTAAAGTGACAATGTTAGACCAGGAGAGCTCTAAGGAATACTTTTCAAAGTGCTAGTTTGTGACAAGAAAAGGAGTTTGTGCCCAAAAGTAAATTAATGTACTGCTTCCTTCATTGGGAAAGTTTTTCTATGAAAAAAAAAAATACATCAGCTGAATAAACAGTGTGGTTAGTGCTGTAGTTGATTTGCCTCCTGCAAAAGTTCCTTAATTCCTCATGGCCTGGTTGCCAGCAGTTAATTTAGGAGTCACACTGAGTAACAAAATGTCATTTTAGAACAGCAGTCTTTTTCAGTTGTATTTCCTTTTGTGAACCGTTTAAGTTCCTTGCCTATTTGAGCTTTTAAAATTTTAGTATATTTTTCTTGTAGATTTGTAAGTTTCTCTTGGAGTAATTAATCTTTTGTTATATTTGCTGCAGGTAGTCCTTCCTCCACCATTTGGTTTATTTCCATGCTTTCCTTTTTACTAAATACTGTTTCTTCCTCACTTATAGGTTCGCAATTCAGACCCTAATGATCCAAACAGAGAAATGGTTGTTCAACTACTAGATGACTTTAAAATATCAGGAGTTAATGGAACACGTATCCTTTTAAAAAACCTTTGAAAATAAATCATGAATTAACTCTATCCCAAAGAAAGGAACCAGATTTCTATAAGACAGCATTGGTCTCTCTTCTCAAGGCAAACTGTAATCAAATTACTTTCTTTTGTTTTAAATTTCTGAACCCAGATGTGAATCATATCTGTCTTTGTATGTTGTGATTTTGGGGGGATATTGCTTTAGGTTTTTCTCCTTTTCAGCCAAATTAAACCAAAATCAAAAGAGCTTTTTTAGAAAATAGCCTTAATTAAAGGTTTTTTTGATTTTTATTAATTAGCACGTAGATTTTAGTGGAAGTAATTTTTCATGATAAATATTGGATAAACAAGAATTTAACACATTTTATTATTTATCAGACCTCAACATTGAAGAAGCTATGCGTGTAGGTTAATGCTTAGAATCTAAACAGGTGCGATTGTTCACATTCTATCATAATGAAAAAACTGACTTGTTTCATGTTTTTATCTGGATTCTTAGAATTTTAGAGTTGGAAGGAACCTTAGCTGATATCCTTTACAAGTTAATGTCAGAGCAACATTGAATGAGATAATCAAAATGTTTTTTTAACAACAATGCTTATAAAAGCCTATCAGATTTTTCAGAATAAAAGAGAGTCTCTCTCAGATTGGAGAGTCTAAAACTACCAGTTCATAAACTATTTACAAATGTAAAGGGAAGACATTTCATATATCATTCTATTTCCCTGCATGTTAAACTTCTTTTAACACACGTTCTTAATTGCAAGTGATACACTTTTTTTAAGAAGTAGTATCATATGGACTGTGGTAAGAGATTTGAAAAGAGACACTAGAAAAGAGGATGAGAGAACAGGTAATAATGTGAAAAGATTTATCATTCTGAAGTTAGTTATGAGTTATTTCTTCGAAGAAGTAGAAGTAAAAATCACATATCTCCCAATATGTCAAAAACTGCTTCAAGAATCATCCTATTTTAAAACAGTATCTTTTGTCCTATTGCGGTCACTTTTTTGATGACTCTGTGTGTATATGTGTTCAAATTATTAAGAATAACCAAGAAATAACATACACAGGATCTAATGATGGCCATCAAATTCTGTTTCTCTATAATTTGATCTTATAATGTTTGTCATTTGTCAAATTTTTCTACTAATTTGGGAAGTTTACAGATAAAACTGTGCAAATATTCTAAACAGTCTCCTCAGTAATGCTTAGTGACTTTATTTGACCCAAAGCAAGAAGGCTTTTTAAAAAATTATTTAAATATCTTAGTAGCTTTCAATTCAAGTTCCAGGATATTCCAAACATTACCAGGTAGTTTCTCTACTTTTTACCCACTGAGTCCCTATTTTATTCATTTCTCCCTTTTTGCTTAGCCATTTCTCTCCGCCCTTCCTCCTACTTGTCTCAGCTCTCTTGGCTACTGCATTTTATGCTGCTAGAGATTGAAAAGGATAAAACCAGTAGCGCTAGGGTTAATGGATTATGTTAGTCTTCAGGGTTAATAGGTTATGTTAGTCTTCTGCCCCTCATCTCTTTTCTTGACACAGACATGCCTACATGGAGCCATAGATCTGTTTTGTTTTGTTTTGTTTTTTTGTATATTGGTTTTTCTCGGAGCACTATCCTTTCTTATATTAAAATATGAAGGACCTTGAACTAGAAAGTTAGTTATACAGACTTCAATATAAATTGAAGTCATCCATGGGTGGTGAGGGGAGAGGAGTAGTTAAGAAGGGACAGCTGGTCTATATATAATATTGACGTTGGCCAGCGATTGTCATTATTGGCTACCTATGTTACCTACCATGTGTTAGGATCCTTTTTTTTTTCCTAGTATGTATTTTGCATCTTTTGCGAACTCCTCTTATTCAGAATGCACCCTGAATTTGGCTTTTAATTCGTTTTCAGCCTTTTGTTTTTTTATACCATCTCCCCGAAACATGTTTTTTATATATCCTTTTGATATTTTATTCAATTTTTGTTTTTTTAAGCTACTAAATGTTTGGTCATTTCAGTATCACTGCATACAAATTAAGACAACATTGTTGCCAAATTACAGTGTTTCCCTCAACAAATAAAAGTTTACATTGAAGGTGGCAACATTAAGAAAATAACTATGGCCATGCTACCCTGAACAAGCCCGATCCCATCTATCTCAGAAGCTAAGCAGGGTCGGGCCTGGTTAGTACTTGGATGGGAGACCACCTAGGAAGACTAGCTGCTATAGGCGTAAAAAATAAGTAAATAAGTGAGTAAATAAATAAAAATAACTTAAAATTTTGTTAAAGCAATCTATGTTTTTAAAATTCTGTTTTGGTATATTTTATATATACAAAAGTAGAATAGTTTAATGAATCCCCACAGATCCATTACCCATTTCAAGTATTATGAACTCATAGCCAGTATTGTTTTGTCTATTCTGCCTGATAATTTTGCGGCCAATCTTAGATGTACTGTTTCATCCATAATTATTCTAGAATGTATCTCCAAAAGATAGGGCCTCTTTTAAGATGTAACGTGAATGCAATTATTATACCTAAAAATATTGGTACCAACTTCTTAGTCATTTGGTATCTAGTCAGTGTTTCAGTCTCTCCAGATGTCTCATACTTTTTATTCTTAGTTTTTTTATTCTTACTTGAGTCAGCATTTATATAAGGTCATTGAAAGTTTCTTTATTTTTTGGCACATCAAGATGTTTGGCACATCATCTTATACATTTCCTGTTCAAACCTGGAAACATCCATTTCTTCAAGAAGCCCTAACTCCTTTTTAGTTAGAAATGGCGAACAGAATCAAAGCACTAGGAGTACACTTTGCTATTGGGTTGATCGTTGTCATTTTTATGATTTGTTTGTTAATCTATCGTGAAGAGTAATACCTCCATTCCCTCTTCACCCTTTTTTTAGATCACTTGAAGTTGCCCCCACAGATTACTTTTGCAGGTGGGTAGATTTGTTTGGATAATTTTTTTTCTCTGGTTTTTCATTTTGGATAGTTTCTACTGCTATGCCTTCAAGTTCACTAATCTTTTTATTCTGTATTGCCTAATCTGCCATTTATCCCATCCAGTGTATTTTTCATCTCACATTGTGCTTTTCATCTCAGAAATTCAGTTTGGGTCACTATATCTTCTATATCTCTACTTTTCAATATATGAAATACAACCATACCTTTAATTTTCTTGTCTACTAATTCTAACATCTTTGACAGTTTTGGATTAGTTTCAAATGATCATTATTCTAATTTTCAGATATGTCTTCTTAAATCTTTGCTGCCCGGTAATCTTTGAGACATTGTGATTTTTACCTGTTAGCTGCTGGATATTTTTTTAGCCCCATAAATCTTCTTGAGCTTTGTTCTGGGAAGCAGTTATGTTTCTTGGAAACAGTCTGATCCTGTTCAGATTTTACTTTTATGATGTGTTAGGTGGATCCAGAGCAGTGTTTAGTCTAGGGCTAAACATTCCCTCGACTGAGGCAGTACCTTCCTGAATAATTTATCCAATGCCCAGTGACAATGAATTTTTCTAGTCTTTTTTTTCATTTGAGATATAATTGACATATAACACTTTATTAGTTTTGGATGTGCAACATAATGATAATATACAATACAGTATTGTTAACTATAGTCACCGTGCCATACATTATATCCCCAGGACTTATCTTCTAACTGGAAGTTTGTACCTTTTGATCACCTTCATCTATTTCTTCCACCCTTCCCCAAACTTCTGGCAACTACCAATCTGCTCTCTGTATCTATAGGTCTGGGTTTTTGGTTTTTCTTTAGATTCCATATATAAGTGATATCATCCAGTATTTGTCTTTCTCTTACTTATTTCACTTAGCATAATGCCCTTAAGTTTTATCCATGTTGTTGCAAATGACAGGGTTTCTTTTTTTATGGCTGAGTAATATTCCATTGTGTTTATGTACCACCTCCTTATTCATTCATCCTTTGATGGCCATTTAGGTTATTTCTGTGTCTTGACATTGTAAATAACACTGCAGCAATATGGGGTGCAGATATCTCTTTGACATAGTGTTTTTATTTCCTTCAGATAAATACCCAGAAATAGAATTGTTAGATCATGTGGTTGGTCTATTTTTAATTTTTTGAGGTCTCTTTATACTGTTTTCCATAGTTTCTACACCAGTTTACATTCCTACCAACAGTACAGTGTTCCCTTTTCTTCATATCCTCACCAACACGTGTTATCTCTTGTCTTTTTGGTAATAGCCATTCCAACAGATGTGAGGGATAATCTCATTGTAGTTTGGATTTGCATTTCCTTGATAATTAACAGTGTTGAGCACCTTTTCATGTACCTGTTGGCCATCTGTATGTCTTCTTTGGAAAAATGTCTCTTCAGACCCTCTGCTCATTTTTTAATTAGATTGGCTTTTTTTCTGTTGAATTGTATAAGTTCTTTATCTATTTTGGATACTGGCCCCTTATCAGATATATGGCTTGCAAATATTTTCTTCTGTTCTAAAGATTGCCTTTTCTTTTGGTCGATGGATTCCTTTGCAGAAGATTTTGTTTGATGTTTGTTTAATTTTGCTTTTGGTGTCAAATCCAAAAAAAAAAAAAGCCATCACCAAGACCAACATCAAGGAGCTACCACCTATGTTTTTTTTTTTCTAGTTTTATGGTTTCAGGTCTTACATGCAAGTCTTTTAGTTCATTTTGAGTTGATTTGGGGGTATTGGTGTAAGATAGTGGTCCAGTGGTCTTTTACATGTGGCTGTCCAGTTTTCCCAGCACCATTTATTAAAGAGACTGTCCTTTCCTCGTTGTATAATCTTGGCTTTTCTGTTGTAAATTAATTAACCATATATGTGTGGGTTGATTTCTGGCCTATGACTATGAATTTTTCTAGTCTTTTTCATGAGAACAGACACTGTTGGTACCCTGTAGGAAAGCCGTGCACTATTCCCTCTAATCCTTCCAGAAGATTTCTTTTCTGCCTGCCTCTGGTAGTTTCCTCATATACCTATACTGATTAGCGCACTGCTAAAAACTTGAGGGGATCCCTCTGTAGATCTCCAGGGTTCTCTTCTCTTCTGCAGCTCTCTCCTCTGTGATACTTTGTGTTCTATAGATGCCTTAGTCCCTTAGACTTAATTCCATATCTTTAAGTGGAAAGTCTCAAGGTAATAAAATGGAGCAATCGTAAAGTTCAGCTCATTTATTTCTCTTCTCTCAGGAGTCGCTGCCTTCGTTGTTTGATGTCTAAGATCTTTAAATCTGTTGTTTCTTGCATTTTGTCTGCTTTTGTTTTTTTGTCATTTCAAGCAAGAGAGTAAATCTAGTTCCTGTTATTCCATCTTGGCTGAAGCAGAAGTTCCTAGGTGTTTGTTTAACTCTAAGAAATTACCGGTTTTACCATTTTACACTTCTCTTAACATTCTATGAGTTCTAATTGTTCCACAACCCCACTTACATTTGGTCATGTTAGTCTTTTTACTTTAGTCATTCTAGTGAGTTTGAAATAGTATCTTATTGTAATTTTGATTTGTGTTTCCCTGAGGTAGTCATGTTCCTTTAATCTTCTTTAATTTAGAACAGTTCTTTTTTTCATGGCGTTAACTTTTTTTTTTCCTTTTAGAATCTAGGCCAGTTTTTTAAAATTTATTTATTTAAATTAGTTTCAAGTATACAGTATGTTGGTTAGATATCTATATAGTTTGTAAAACGATCCCCCCAATTGCACTCTCCCTCCCCTGGCCCTCTACCTAGCCCATGTATTATCCATTTTGGCTGTTTTTCTGTTGCTTTTTCAATTTACTAGCAAAGCTCTTAAGTTTCCTGGTCTTATTAGTGTGGATTTATGAAGTAGGTGTCCAGGGGCACAGTCCTGAGAGGGATTCAGCTGCAGGTCACATTTAGCCCAAGCCTCTGTCCCTCCGAGGCAACCTGTTAAGATTCAGCAAGCAATCCACAGGTGCTGTGCTTATAGTTGCCTCAAAAGGCCACACCAGGAGCCAGCTGGCTCCAGTGTGAGTCTAGGTGCTGCTCAGCAAGGAGCACTTGACTCACTGAGGATACAGCTGGATGTGGCTTGGGTGAGGCCATGAGTTGGGGGAGGCGGGGTTTCAGGGAATCCTCTGGGCGGAGCGACTTCTGTTATCCAGTCTGATGGCCTCATAGCTTTGGCGGTGCTCTGTCCACACACTGGGAGCAGGGAGGGCTCAACAGGAAACAATGGAGACTGCCAGCACTTCTGAACAGAGCAAATCTTGCTTCAGCCCTCACTCTGGCAATGTCTCCCTGTAAGTCCGTGGTGCCCCCTGTGCGCAGCCAAATTGGCACTGGTGCTCAGAGCAAGCAGGTCCATCACCACAAAAATTCGCTGGTGGACGCCGCCCCTTTAAGAGGTGTCTGCTGCTGCTGCTGCAGCCTTCATCTCACTCAGCTGCTCATGACCAGGCAGCCCCAGTCCTCACTGCGTTCTCCTTTCTGCCGTTGCGGGGTGATTTCTTGGATTTCTCCTTAGTTGTATGGCTTGTTCATCAAGATCCCAGGTGATTTTTCCTTGCTGCTGCTCCTTATTTTCATCACAACTTTGATTTGGTCGCCAGAGGTATGAACAGAGCCTCTGTTATCTATGCCATTTTTTTCCCTCTCTAGTCCAGTTGTTTTGTCCCTTCATTTGAATTTATCTGATTGTTTCCTCATGGTTAAATTCAGATTAATCATTTTTGTCAAGTATACTACGTGGATGATATTTTGTTCTCGTTGTGTAATATCAGAGGGCACATGATGTGAATTTGTGCTTATCATTGGTGCTGATAAGTTTGATCAGTTGGTTAAAGCAGTATATTTCAGATTTTACTGTTTAAAAGTACTTTTTTCCTTTTATAATTAATAAGTAATATATGGGGTGATATTGTCACACTGTGACAATTTTTCCCAGCAGTCTTTCATTTAATAGTCTTAGAATTCATTGATACTTACCTAAATCAGCTATTACTATAGTAATTGTAAAGTGATGGTTTTCTATTTCTGTCATACTTTGTATATTTATTACTTGACTTTTTCCTCTAACAGAAATTTCCATCCCCCCAGCACACACTTATTTTAGTATCTCTTTGGATTCATTGTATTTTTAATTTATAAGTTAATTCATAACGTCACTCTTTAAATGTTTTCAACTTGGGCTAGTGACATCCTCTCAAACTGGTTCCCATTTCTTGACATGTTCCTTGACTATTGGCACAGCAAGGTTTTCCAGATTTGCTCTGGATTTGGCCATTTCTTCAAGGACCCCGGGTTTTTCTTCAGTGGAGAATCTTAAAAGTCTGGGCTAGGTCATTATTATATATGTATGTCTAATTTACGTAGAAGCTTCTAGAGATTCAAGATACCAATGTCTTGC